GATTGATTTTGCTTTACTTCTCAGCGCAAATATCTCAGTCCGTTTGAAATGATTAACTTATTCAGCAGCAAGAGGTCGTTTTTAAGCGATTAATTCCTTAATATCAGCGTCTGTGTCCCTCAAATCTGGAAGAAACTTCCAGAGAAGTGCGTGACCGCTGAAACACCGAGCTCCTTTAACTCAAATCTAGAGTTGCTCAGAAATTAAACGTCGGCCAACATGTTCGATGTGCTCTGTTGATTTTAACTATGGCTCTTGACAAAATGCAGCGACTGCGGCTGGTTTTCACTGTGTGACATTTTTCCATTCTCATGCTGTGAAGCACTTTGATGCTGAAATGTGCTGCAGAAATAAACTTGACTTAACATTGATGAAAAGGTGCTCGCTGCACTGGGAGGTAATGTCCCTTATAAAAAGTAATGCTCCCATGATACAAATGAAATAATCTGCTGACACTTTTTCATCAATATAAGGAAATTATGGACCTAAAATAAGCTGATGGGAAGTTACTTGTAAATCAGTGCACTTGAAATAAAATATCTGGGCTAGAAACTCAACCTAAACTCTTTGATAAGATTTTGTGTTTTTGCAGTGTTTGCTTGTCACGGCTCCCGTGGACTGAGGCCTCTGATGAGACACTGATGGGAGGAAGTCTGCGTTTTACTCCCTCACAGCTGCAGTCGTGACAGACTCTGATCCTCTGCGGCTCCCGGGACTCGTTGGACGGCACCGCAGGAGGAATGTCCTCTAGACGGGCGATGTAGCAGAGAGTTTGTCCTTTATAGCAGAGCCTGCTGGTGGCACTGTGACACCTTCCCACTGGTCAGGTAAACAGAGATTGAAGAAGTGCTCAGGTCTCTGGAGAGTGCCTGCGATGGACTGGGTGTCACCCACTTGACCGATATCAGGTTCAAAACGCACCACGACCTGATGTATCAATTTATCTTGTAGTTATTTTAATTTGATGTATCTACGTTCTTAAAATAAATGTTAAAATGGCAGCGCAAGTACCACCGGCTGCCTTGGCATCGACCTCATAATTGTACAATTTGACATGTGGAAAATAAATGTGCAAATATTGAAACATGCTGATTTAGAAAAAAAAAAACTGCAATAAAAAGGTTGGTGCTAGAACGGGATGGTGATTTTTAAATTTTTTTGCCGTAGTTTTATTTCAAAACTGCAATAGAAGCGCTTTGCTCACATCACACGAGTCACATGATCAACGCCTGGATGTTGTCCCCAGTGCAAACCACAAAGAGGAAAACAGGAAGTGGTCGCGTATTTTATTTAATAGAAACAATGCAATTGTGAAATTGTGTTGTTTTTTCTTTGTTTTTGCTTGTGAAGTATTGACGCTTAATGGAAACGCAGCTACTAATTTTACGTGGACTGCTTTTGGCAAACGCAGAAGAAATGTTGGTATTTGTATTTAAGATATGGACATATTTTAAATTTCTGTATTTCGTTTACATTTCATTTCATCAATATACTGGGACATGAGAATGACATCAAGCCCACCATGTTTTTGGATTTGCTAATTGTTCATTGACCAAGATGGCAAATAACAAAGAAGCCAATAGCATCTCTGTATTTGGTAATAAATGAATTTATTTTATAAAACTGCAATGGAAACACTTCTCCCCCCCCCCACCTGAGATGATCAACAACCGTATGTTGCCACTCGAAGTGGCAACATAGTTGCAAACTACAAAATAGTCAACAGGAAGTAGTTGGACGATGATGGCGCAGCATATTATTATTTGATAAGAAATTGCATTTCTTATTAAATGAAAACATCAAATTGTAAAATTGTGGGTTTTTTGATGGTAACATTAACGAAGCTTTGCGCACATTCGCAATGGAAACGCAGTTACTTCTAATTCCATAGATGTTTTCCCAGAAATGTCTCCGTTTGGTAAAAGTCTGTTTCACCTTCATGTCGTTTTTCCTCCACTTCAACATCATTTCCTACATCGTGTCAGTCCATCACCAGAATCTGTAAGATAACTAGGAACAATCGTTCTCAAACGACAAGCGAGCGTTGGGCTCCTAATTTCTGATTTCCCAAAAAAAAACCCCACAAAGTACTGTCTACTGCACAAGTGGAGGTCCAAAAGTGGATTTCTTTCAGTGCAGACTGGGCTGACGGCATTGATGTCAGCGTGCGGACAGAGTTTACATTCCTGCAGTCTTCAGCGTGCGATGAGAAGCAATGTGCCATCAACACGGCTGTCAGGTCACGGTGCTCACTGCTCCGATCGCGGCTCGCACACGGACAGACACAGACACCCAACGGGACGTGAACCGGGCCCAGGATGACTTCAGCAGCATGCGTGCGCTTCCTGGCATCGCTGAAACCTAGTCAACCGCTTTTAACATTGTTTTGATAAGAGGAATAGCGTGGTTTTCTTTTTTAAAGGCCTCTCCTGTTGATGGATATGGGCCTTTTCTTCTTCGTCAGCCTCTGTGTGACTAATACTGAGGAAGGAGTAGGTGTGATGACACCTGTGTGTTTGTGTGTGTGTGGGAATGTATGGCCGCCTTAGAATCACCTTACAGTAATTTTGGCGCTCTGACAATCTGTCAGAAGGGAAATAGATCAGCAATCTATTTACCATCCTTCTTTGCACTGGGGGAAAAGAAAAATGTCAGCAAAATACTATTTTGGGTGACTTGATTGATTGTGCTCAAGCAAGAATTTGGTCTGTTTGGAAGCTTTACGTCTGTTTCTGGATCTTAGGGATTATTGAAACTTACGGCGGACATTATCGACAGCCTTTTTTTATCTTAAATTTATTTACGAGTAAATGGAAGAAGTTATGTAAAAATGAGAAATGTAACTTTCATCACTGCAGCTGGTTCTTTTTCTAGAGCTCGTTATTTGTCTAGAGAAACTATTCTTTGGATGCCCTAACTACACCATAGCCTCTGGCCAAAGCTGATTTTAGAACTACTATTGACATTTTGACATGATTATGTGGCTTCTGTGTCCAAGTAGCTACAAACTACTCGAGATGAACCAATCAGAATTTCTCCAACCTTTGGTAATTTCTGGTTGGACCTGCTGAAACCAACCGTGGCTGAATTTCTCGTTTCAGCGCTATAACAGGATAACGGTGTTGAGAATTCATGTTTCCATCCTCCATGACATGAGCGTTCATTAATCAGTAATATTAGAAGCAGGGTCGACCGTACTGTGTCTGAGTGAGAGAGGAGTCACCGTAATATTTCAAAGCCGTCACAACAGAGTAGACATTTTAAACTGTCTGCACCGTCTTATAATAGCAGTTAGCATTGCTAGGGTTACCAATGGCTCTACCAGTGTGTGTTCAATTTGGTCACTTACTTTAACGCTGAGATTTCTGAAAAGGTTGCCAACATTTGTGTCCCGTAGCACAGAGGAGAGAAGCTCAAAAGGATCAAACTTAATTGAGCCTTCCTGTTATCTGCTCGTTTAGTCACCAAGGCTAATGGAACCACAAAGATGTGTTGAAATACGTTTAGGTTTTTAAATAACTTTGTACATCTTTGGGCATTCTCTGACTTGATTTCGAAAAGCTTCCTGATTTGTAAACTATTTCATTATGTGTTGACATGGATACTGGAGTTTAGTTGCAAGTGAAAGCTATTAGCACTTATGTTGGGTCCTGTGTGATTCTGCATAGTGTCACCTTCCTGAAATAATGGCCATCTTTTGCCAAAAGTGATTTTTTTTTCCCCCAAAAAAACATCTTTTGGAAAGAAAGAGCTGATGACTTGGGCCATTGTTTTAGGAAGGGGTCATTATTCTGGTATTGATCCGATACCAAGTAAATCACCAGTCTGCATCACCGATAATGATACCGAAACTTTTCAAGTGAGATTAAATCATCAAAGATCTGATATTTAGGTGATTCGTGTTTGTTTTTGGTGTTTTTGTTCAAATAATTAAAAAAAAGAATTTGGGCAAAGTTAAAAGTTATCTACAAAATACTTTAATAATTAATATTGTCATGATTTGTGTGCACTTCCAAAATACATCGCAAAAATTATAAGCAACAAAATTATTTTAGCGGTAGAGTTGGAAAAACTGCAATACAAACACAAATTAAAATATGAATCTAAAGTACTGACCCTGACGAGTCTAGAATCTACCCAATACTGATTTGGTGTATCGATATTATCGACATTGTGGATCAATCCGCACACTTCTACCGTTCACTAGCTGGCAAAAGACTGAATTATTTTAAAGTTTCTGTCTCTCTGGTGTCTGTTCAGAGCCAGTCAGCTGAAAATCCGACCGTTCTTGTCACTATCTGATTTCCAAGTTGCTATTTAAAAATTAGCCTTAAAGGTTTTGTAGACTGACAGCTAAAGGACAGACCGGGAACATTTGCTTTTAACAACCACAGGCTTCCCCCTCCAGCCCCCCGTTTGTTCCTTTGTTTTTAAGTTACCGCCATGGATTTCAGCAGAAAAACACGATCCAGCCGTATGTATGGAGCTCATTGGACGCCCGAGGGCAAAATAAAAATGGAGGCTGTTAAAAAACATTCCCACAGCTTAATAAACCATGCATGCTTATTTGCTCTGAGCCATAATTCTGTTGGTGAACGAGCAATAGATCATTACCGGGGTTGAGTGAAGTTGAAAACTTGGACAAATTCTTGCTTCCAGGCTCTATAAATTAGATGGAAAAAAAGACAACCGAACTACTGAGAAACCTCCAACATCACCTTCTCTCAACAGCTGAAAATGTGACTGCATTGTGTCTCTGTCAGGCTGTTGCAACATCAGTCAGAATCAGTATTGGATTACTTCCTAGGAGATTTCAACAAATCAGGAGAAGGATGAAACAAAAGTAATAAAAAAAACCTGTATGGCGGGGCGACGTTGACAGTAATTTATTATTAGTGGCAGTTTATTACTAACAGCAGGAGAAGGAGAAGTTGTAGCAGTTTTGCTATACTGTTATTATTTTTACGTGAAAGACGGTGACACAGAGGCCCATTTTCCACATGGCCAATATCACTTTCTGCACTGAAAAAAAAAATGAAGCATTTAAATTTTTTTTTTCATATATGCCTCGCTCTTTTCTGACTGTCTTTAACAGCCAGGCTGAGGAAGTTCAAGACTGAAAAGGTCAAAGGAGACACGAGCTGCGATTGTTTCACCTGCTTTGCCTTCTTCTTTGGAATTTTGATGTTTCGTCTTGATAATCTGCCATCTCCTGGTGCAGGATGAGTATTGGCAGCAAATTGGCAGCTTGGAGACTGTGTATGCTAAGAGTTAAAAACCAAACAAACAAAGGGAAATAAAAAGAGAAATTTCAATAAGGTTTTGCGTGTGACGAGCTGGGATCTTGATGTTGACCAATAGGACAGAATCTGACTTTGACTCTCCGCCCACCGGGCTCCCCTTCCTTCCCTTTCACCTTTTTACACCTCGAGTCTTGCATAGAGTCTGAAGGGAGGAAAAAAAAGAAAATGGAGATTAAAAAAGATATCTGTAAATAAACAAGCAAAGGAGAAATAATAGGTAAGAAAATGCAAAGTGTAAACAACAAAATGATAAAAGTGTAAACAAAAAAACAAGTATTAAATAACAAACATTAAAAAAATGAATTAATAAAATAAATCTGGAAAAGAACATTTACATTATTATTATTATTATTATTATTATTATTATTATTATTATTATTATTATTATTATTATTATTATTTTGTTTGGAACATTTGGCACATTATTTTATTTATTTGTTTCTCTTTAGTTAGTTCTTTAAAAAGAAACTTTCCGTTCTGTTTTTGCAGCATGTAGCTTTTATCAATCAAACCCAGCCTTCTGTATTCTGCTCAATGTGCTGACGGTGGAAAAACAACTCAGAAAAACGTTTCTCCGCCGTCATCGGTGGTCATGCTAATTAGCCTTAGCATTCGCGACAGGCTACATGGCGAGCCAGCTGTAGCCTAGCATAGAGCAAGTAGGAGGGTTGAGCACCAGAGCGACTGGCAGCTGGTTTTTTTTTCACAAATTGTCTCTAATGTTACACTGTCACAACATGATGATTTTAACATATGAACAAAAAAAAAAAAAAAAATAATGAGTGACATGCTGCAGCTTTAACATAATTGACTTCAATTTACAAAATGATTGCAAATTGCATAGTGTAGTATTATTGTTATACTGTAAAGCTTACGTCAGAAAAGGGACAGGGTCACATTTATTTTCATATTATGCTCCACCCCTCCAAAAGAAAAAACAACCCAACAATTTTAGCATGGATGTTTTATGCTGCTAAAAATCTTTCTACTCAGAAAGAGGGTGACTTGATTTCATCCTACTTAATGTGTAGGTTTGTGCGTCTATACAGTTACAGTTTGACGTGTAACTTTGATCCGCTGTTTGCGGAGGAAATGTGACTGACGGAATCTGAACTCAAATGGCAGCTGAGATTTTAGAAGAAATCGAGATGTCATTCTGTCATTCATTATAAGTCACAAAGCAGTCATTGTTTGAATTTTGAGATTATGTTTCTATTCATTATACCTTCAGGGTGTGTGTGTGTGTGTGTGTGTGTGTGTGTGTGTGTGCGTGCGTGCGTGCGTGTGTGTGTGTGTGTGTGTGCACGTTGATGGGGCGGGGCTGGCTAGCAATCTGGCCTCTTTAACTTTAATGGAAAATCCAACTGATGACATGTTCATCCCCTTTTTCTCCCACTCGTCTTTCTCTTCCCTCTCTCTCACTCTCTTTCTCACACACACACACACACACACACACACACACACACACACACACACACACACACACACACACACACACACACACACACAAAGCAGCTGCAAATATGAGAGCATCAACAGTGTGTTTCTTACAGCACTGAACAGGACTTTGTTTACTCTTACCTTCCCAGCGAAGTGTTTGCTTTAGGAGTGAAAGTTCAGAGGTTTGTCATCGAGTCGGCCTTTTCTCCGACTCGGAGACATTCCAGTCTGTGTGTGAACAGGGACGCATGTTTCCAGCAGTCAGTGAGCGACCCGAGCAGTAGCTGTCTCTCCACTGTTGGAGACGAGCGAAGAGGGAGAATCGGTGCGAAACGATTCTCCGCTCCCCGGAGGCAGAACAAACCCGTCCTGCAACTTTTTCAGGTTGGCCCACTGCGCGTGGTGAAGTTCAGATTTTGTTTTTCCAGACTTCTTCTCCTGCTTGGCAAAGACGGACTATCTGGCACTACACAAAACAAAATAATAAGTATAATAAAGATCATAAAAGTCAGCATCACTCCAGCTCCTCATTTGATTTTCTAAATGCTGGTTTGTTACCAGTTTTATCGGAAACCCAAGTAGATTTTGTCACGTAACATTTACCAACAGCGATCGTGTCAAAGCACAAACGCGGTGACGGTTCAGTGTCCTGTTCTCCATGATTATAAAATGGAAGACTAATGAGAGGCGAGTATTTATCACATCGTTTATCATCTATCGCGATAAATTTCTTATTGTTGTCACAATACATTTCAATTATTTCCGTTCCAAGCCCCCCTTAAACTGTCTCTCTGATGTTTTTACCATTTTCTCCACCGTTTGTTCAATGAGAACATGAATAAATGTCAGAAAGTATGAGTGTGAGCAGTTTGGTGATTAAAAATTCCACTTCTTCCCACGACAGGCGTCCTAAAGAGTCATACTGACGGAAATGTTTCTGAGGGACAATATTTATGTTTGCAGGGCGACGACTGCTGTGTCGTGTGTCACAAAAACATTTTTTTTTCTCTCTAGAATGACTTAAACTTGACTGTCTTCTAACTCACACTGGCCAACCTGACTGAGCATGAAAGGATGTGCAGAGAACAAAAAATAAAATAAAATACCCACCCAAACCAGGTGCGCCAAAGTTGTAAAAACGTACCAAAGAAGACTTGAGGCAGCGATTGCTGCCATAGAAGCCTGAACAAAAACATTAAACAAACGACTGCGAGACGTTGTGAAACTCTGGATTAACAAGGTCGTGGTGATAAAAACAAAAATCAGTTTTTGCCTTGAGATCCCGAGAAGGAAAAAAAAAAAAGATTCCAGCATCTTATTTCACTGCAGGTCTGCAACAAAATGTATAAGAAGCAGAAGGATGTTTTATTGACTTGACGCATCTAAGTAAATCAAAACCTAAATTGGACATATTTTTTTGTTTTCTTTGGTTTTTTTCATGACCTCAGGGCACTTGCTTACGCATCGCAGTGGATCGCTCCAAACACATTAAGTCAGGTGAGGGAGGTGTGTGATGGTTGCACAACCGTCTCGGTGCCTCAGACCGCAGCTGTCACATCCATAACAATAAATGGAGCATATTGTTGAGGGAGCTGACAAATCATAACTGTCTTGCAACATCAGAGAAAATGTCAAACTGTGTATGCATATTTTAGATCTATGCATCTAAAATAATGCATAGATCGGAAATTTTAACATGATGTGCCACAATGATGCACTACACACAGGAAAGCACACTGGATTTAGAGTTTGGTCCTCAAAAAAAAAGATAAGATAAGAAATACAAAACGAACATCGATACTTCACTAAAAGAAGAACAGGAAATGATGAGAGGAAAACCTCATGTGACACAACATAGGAGTGAGCCACATCCTGGTAAATGGCTCATCGCTGTTGCGAGAACTGAGTGACTCTAAAGTCTTAAAAGACAATTTTCAAAATGTTTTTTTTTTTTTTTTTTTAATAGAGGTTTGCATAGAGGAAGAATGTTTTGGCGTCACTCTAAACGGTAAAATGTTTACCGTGTCATCAAGTTGATGTTGAGCAAAGACACTTGTAATAAAAAGCATGATACAAAAATAAATGTCTGGCGTTCAAGCTCTGCAGCCGCCGAGTGACGGGGTGACAATTAGTTGAGCTTTTTATGGATCATATTACAATAAAATCAGCTGGTTGCAGGTTTGATAAAATGGGAGTATGGGCTCATTTTGTAATGCATGTAAAAAATATTTTTTAAAAACTTTCACCCCATTGAGTGTTTTAACCATTTTGTTTTTCTTTTCCAAATCAGTCTTGATCAACAAAGGTACCCTTATTGTGAAAGTGAAATCTGATTTCTACAAAATGACAACAAAAGCAAAATGCCAAACATGAAACTAGTGAGTGCGGAAATATTCGAGTCAGTGTTTAGTAGATGCACACGCGTTTTCTTTCACTGTCTGCTTTGGGCTCAGGCCTGCAGCGTTAGCTTGAATCGGACTCGGACACAACGTGTACGTCTCAGGCTGTTTGGATTTTTATTTCCTTTGCGCTATAAACTCTGTTTCCTGTTTAAGTGAGGATGCCCCGTTATGCCCCATGCACGCACACAGCTGCGTTTCCCTCCATAGCTGCTAGTAGCATTTTGCATCCATTAGCGGCTCGTTGGCGGGAGGGAGAGCATTGCGCAACACATGACAACAGTCATCTGGTCGGAACACGGTGTGCTAAATAGCAAAGCGCAATTCAACCAAGCCTCAAGGCAGATCATTTAGGAATTTTAAAAAAATCAAGGGACTCAAATCATTTGATGAATCATTACAGAATGAGTTATAGGTTCTTAATGTGAACCACATTAAGAAGGTGGGTCAACTTCAACCCTCTTCAATGATTGTAGAAGTTTTAGTCCATAGCCAGGTTTAAAGAAGAAGTAGATCTTTTGGTACGACTTTAAGTTATCTTGGAAAAGAGGCTTTAGCTGTAATATTTGTCTGGCTCCAGTAATTGATTTGAGAACAACTGGATTACTATGTAAAATATAAATTTTATTAGCTTCACATTATGTTAGAATGTAATTCCCTCATCTAAAACATACCGCGAGTGTTGCGTTGAGTCTTTCCTAGGTGTTTGAGAAATCCTGTGATCTGCCCTGGCAACCACTCTGTTTGGAGAAACATTTTATCTCACCAAGACATTTTGGCAACTGTGCTTCCCAGCGCAGCCTTCCCCTGCGACTCCGCCACTCAGCTCCTTCAGACTAGCCAGCACATTTGCAAACACCTGTTGGAGCTGCGCATCTGTGGAGCTCATTATACAAGCTACTTCTTGGTCCAACACTGGTAAAAATGTTGTTTAAGGGTTAATTGAGAAGCTGTGATGACGTGCAGAAGGCGGGGTTTTATAAAAAAGCAGGAGCTACTTAAAAAGACAGGTTCAATTTCAAGGGATTAAAATGTGAAGTGAAATGTCTTGTAAGTCATAGTTGACATATACGGCATTGTTATAACAACTGAAAGTCGATAAAATGGTATAAAATGGTACTATGTAGCTGGAAAACATATATTACTGCCCCTTTAAGGAGGGACTGGTGTTCTCAGAGTCAGGAACAATTTAGGTCTATTGTACACATCTTACATCATTTGTTCTATGCCACTCTTTTTTATATCGTAGATATGTTCATTTGGATGGAGCTTGTGGGCTGAGCTCACCAAATAAGAAGGGTTCATTTTCATCTGCAGGCATCAGAACAGAACCAGGTGTCACCCAGGCAGCCTGCCACTGTCTCAGACTCTGGATTATGTGATGTGAAGCCGGAGTTCGACACCAACAACGTGGGCGAACAAACGCCACTCATAACCCTATTTGCAAATCAGTACTCCATCATCATCGTCAGCATCCCAAGGTGGGAATGGTGATTTGGCCGCAGCCGGACGCATCACGTCTGGATCTGCCAAGGATAAAACGAGAGGAGCACAACCGACCTTCTGAGTCGGTCGCACCGTTGTACCTTAGCAGAGGCACAATCGCAAACATTCACCCCAAGGAGAGATACCACACCGCATGAAGTGACGTCACCCGGCTGGAAGCCGGCCCTACCTGACTCTCCACGCATTCCCTTCCCGTTACCTCCTGCTTTTTACAGATCGGCTTTCATACGGTGAAAATTCTGTAAGCCGGTCAATTAGCAGAGAGGATTACACGCCGCTTCACACAGGCTGACCTCATGGCGGCCAAAGCAGAAAGCAAAGCGAGGACATTGTTGAACGTCGAGGCCCCGCGAGTTTTATTGAGCGTGACTCATGATTAGGAATTCTGACAGTGAGTTCAGCACAGATGAAACTAAGCCAGCGCCATATGCTCCTTTTGGGGGGGTTGAGGCCAAAAAAGTGGAGAGAAGACGTCCAAGTTTCTCCGGACAACACGTTTCCCCCCACCCCCCAAAACTTCGCAAACAGTTCAGCTTGTCGGACGTGTGATTGTCCGATGGTTTTGGTATGCCACAGCAGGACTATATCCATCTACTCATCTGAGACTCGAAGAAATGCCTCTGAAATATCCACTTTCATCCAAGCGTCCCAGTACGTCGACAGCGTGTTTTATTTTTAAAAGCGTATCCGGTGACAAAGGACACTCTAACCCCTCGCTTGGATTACAGGCGGACGGGTGCAAGCATCATTATGTTCTACGCATACATGCTTTTTAATAGGTTGAGAGGGAGACCAATCACACTTGTCAGCCTGTTGCCGGGATACCGGCAGTGTGGTTGCTAAACACCGGTCCACAACTTTTACATCATGGACTATATTTCTGAAAGTTAGAATATGAAAGAATATTACATTACCGCGCAGAAGTGCTGAAGCAGGTCCCAGCAGCACCTGCTCTTTCAGTGTAAAATATCAGCGCCCCTCAGACACCGGCGCCCCCCCACCCACCAAAAGAGCTCCCGACTCTTGGAACAATTTCCTCGTTTAACTCCCTGCTCGCATGTGAGAGGATAATCATCTTCTAATCCTAATTAATTGTCGGCCTAAAAATAACGCGAAGGGATGAGGAGCGTTTTGAGTGAGAGCGAGTGTTTTGGGTTGAATGTATCTTTTTTTTATATCTCGTGATGACGGCTCGGTTGTGGTTTTCCAGGGATGAGCATTTAGCTGTAATTTGAGGCGCGCATTTATTTCCGTGTACTAATTAATTCTCCCATCAGATCGTTGTCGGTTTAATGAGGTCTTCTCTGTTTCAGCTCTGCGTTTTGGCTCTTTTCTCTCTCCATATCTCTCTCTCTCTCTGCTGTAAATGGGTAAATTATTAACACCGCAC